CCAAGTGGCAGCTTACAACCAACTATAACTCCAGTTCCAAGAGATTCAACCCTTATTCTTCTGATCTCTGTGGGATCCTGAATGTACATGGCACACACACATATACACTCATGCACACACATGTAAAACAACTTTTAAAGCCAAAATAGGACAAGCTGAGCATGGTGGGAAACCCCTTTAAAATTAACAACCAGGAAGCAGGGAACACAGTTCTGTGAGTCCCAGGTCACCCAGGACTACACAATGAGACTCTGTCTCAAATTAAGACAGGAAAAAAAAAAAAAAAAAAAAAAATGTAATCTTAAAGAGTGAAGAAGAGCCCTGGAACATTGACCCAAAAAAATAAGGAGGCTGCAACTGCAGGGAACCCCTTTAAAAGACAGATCCCTGCCCATTTGCACTCTCTCTACACTTCTCCTCTTCTCTGTCTACTTCTGCTTCTCTTCTCTCTCTCCCTCTCTATGGTGACCAGCCATGGTGGTCAGCCATTTACACTGTTTCTCTTCTCTCTTACTCTCCTTACTCTGCCAGGCCTATAATAAACTGGTTAATATGTCTAATATGTCTCATCCTGTGTCTCATCTTGCGCCTTCCTCCTCCTCCTCTTCTTTATCTTTAATTTAAACAAAAATCTGACAATGGCACTGTGCAACAGAACTTCATGCAATGACAGATATATTCTAGTCATTCATCATCCCTTCTTTAAAATTGGAAAACTAAGGAAAAAAGAGATTAACAAGGAAAATAGTGTAACATCAATGGTAAAAACTGAAGCAGATCCCATGTGAACAAAAAGTAAGACAGCCCAGTGTGATGGTGCACACCTTTAGGCCCAGCCCTTAGGAAGCAGAGGCAGGCAGATCTCTGAGTTCTAGGACAGGTGGGGCTTAACATGGTGAGACTGTTTCAAAAAGCAAAACTAAACAAGGAAACAACCAAAACAAGCAACATGTAAGTGCAGTTTCTCTTTAATCTTCTAAACACTACCCTGTGTAGGTCACATCCGACCAGATGCCTTTGTTCAGAGCACTATCTCCACGACATTAGGAACAGTTCAGTTACTGGGACCCACGGTAAAAGATAAGGTATGTATAACATGAAAACAGAAAGGTTATTAGGGGGAGAAAAGGGATCAGTGGGAGGCGGGAGACAGTGAAGCACAGCAGTAGGGTAAATATGAGCACTGTACAATGTTAAATATATGTATACTCATACATATGTATACATAAAAATGTCATAATGAAACGCATTAACTTTTACGTTAAAATTAATCTTAAAAAGAAAAACCGACTACAGGGCAGGATCGATATCTGCTGAAGCTCTAGACAGAAGTATAACTCTATAGTGTACTGGAAGCAGAAAAATTTTGTGAACTGGGCTTGACATAACCTCAGCACTGGGGAGGCTAAGGCTGGAGGGCCAGGCTCCCAATGTCAGTCTTGGCTACAGGGTGAATTTCATGCGGAGTTGGGGCTACACTGCAGGACTCTATTTGAAGTAGATTTGAAAAAAAAAAAAAAAGTTTGTGAACCATTGACACTGTTGCCCAAAAGAAAAATATAATAAACTTCCAGCGGTAGCCACTAGTTTTATGTGGCTACTGAGTTCTCAGTGTGTGGCTCGTGTGTTGGAGGAACTGAGTTATGAACTCAAAACATCCGTATGTGCGGTGCCTCTCTGGCAGGTCGTCTAGGATGAAGCATGCATGTTCTAGATCGAACTTAGAAATGAACTGAATCAATTAAAATGAATTAGATTTCCTAAGGGATTAAGACTTGATTTTTTTTTCCAACTGAGAAAAGGGCTTCTGCCGCTCAAAGTTTT